TTCGGAAATACTTCATGCAGCGCAAAACAAAACAAACGCATTCGTAGTGAATTGCCTTCAAAACCCGTCGAATACACATTTGAAATTGATACACAATTCTTTCGGGAAATCCCAAGGTCACACGTTGCCCTTTACACTTTCTTGTCATTCCCTTTCTTCTATTCAAATGGAGTGCAATGATTCCAAAAGAACTGTCGAAGGGTCGTTTGCAGCAAGCAAATTGGAGATGATGGATGTTCTGCAATTGTGAACAAACCTCGTTACAACATACTAAAAATGTATGATGGCGCGGCACTCTTCTCAGCAAAGCAGTAAATTTCCCTGCTAACAGACTGATTGAAATACTTTCTTCAGGGTACTATCGCTACCAAAGTGGACGCATGCAATACAGGGGCATTCTCATCGACTCAGCCTAGAAAGGTGCAGTAGCATGCAAGCACAATTTGGAATAGCTTGGCAAGAAATGAATATCTCACGCAGTCTGAAATGTATTGCCACAGCAATGCCCCCGTATTTTGCGGTAGCCTTCCTTTGCAAAGCTTACCATAAGTCATACGTGAAGCATTGTCTGCTCCGTGAAGCATTATGACTGGACTGTAGACCACTATTATAGACTTACACACGTATACGTCAGAAAATGCCCCCGTACATTGCAATAGCACCCCGAACTGTTCCGAGTGATTGGCCATGCGTTCAACATTTTGCTAGATTAAAGATATCCATGTATTGACGATATACTGACAGTAAACTCAGCTGAAGCAAAATGCACAAAATAATTTGGCATTGATCAATCCCCTTTTGGGATGTGGGATGATGGACGGAAGATCTCGCTAGCCCACGATGGTGTGGGATATAACCACCCTATATCCCAGCGCGCAGCAAGCAGCGCGGACTGCTTCTAAATCACTTCCACTCTAAGAAAAGGGACCAATCAAGATTATGTATATAGCTTAGCTCTGGAATTGAGACGATGCTGCCGTTATCTGCCAAGCGATTCTCTGAATGAAGCTACGAGGCGGAAAAGCGCAGCGGTAGCGCGTTGGGCTCCTAGGAAAGTGGTCAGTGGATTGATTCTTCAGCTAGCTTGATCCTTTGTTCTTATAAGCAATATAGCTAGAATGACTTAGATCATTACATAATCGAGAGGCCGGAAGTGGTGCAGTGGTGAGTGGCGCTGCTCTTAACGCGCGCGTTGCGTGAATCAAATCCTGGACCGTGCCTCGTCCAGGCCAGCCAAGTCTTAGATCTCGCCGGGGTTTGGTCTGCATTTTTCACTGGCTGGGTCGATCTGATAGCCTTTCCTTGTAAATAGGTACATTGGCCATGAATGTTGAACAGTTGGCACTTTCAAATGGACTAGCTTTACGGTCAGCTGTGATAAACATTTCTTAACTTACCAGGAAGGTCTTTCAGGGCGTGACAAGCTTTTTGAAAACGGTCTTTTGCATGATATAGGGGCAGATGCGGGAACCACAGAACCATGTTCAATTTTTCCTGAACGGCCCTCTGAATACCAGAAAAGGAGGTCCCTAGTTCGATTCCTCGTGGTAACAAATTTTTGCATTTCGAGTTGACGTGCCAAAATTCGCGCAAAATGGAGTTAGAACCAACCAGAACAATCAGAACTCCATTTTGCGCGAATTTTGGAACGTCAACTCGAAATGCAAAAATTTGTCACCAAGAGGAATCGAACTAGGGACCCCCTTTTCTGGTATTCAGAGGGCCGTTCAGGAAAAATTAAACATGGTTCTGTGGTCCCCGCATCTGCCCCTATATCATGCAAAAGACCGTTTTCAAAAAGCTCGTCACGCCCTGAAAGACTTCCTGGTGAGGTTAGGGCAGAAATACAGTGCATCCCAAAGTGGCCCGCCTGGGCTGGGAAATTTATTTTTGTTTTATTTCAAATTAGGAGTGGAAATATGAGGTAATATGTAGAAGATCGTCGAAACGTTTAATTCAGATCGGTAAAAAATCTGAAAGGACCAAGCCAGCTGTGTGGCTCGATGGCGGCAATCCATGCTCGGAATGGCCTGCATTCCACGTTGCCGTCTACTTTATCGAACAGGTAGTTATGGTCGCTTATTTTGCCTTATAAAAAAGTTATTTATTTATTTATTTATTTATTTATTTATTTCTTTTCTTGAAACGCAATACTTAGCGATTCACGTAGTGAAAAATTCATAGAATTCTTGGTATATATAACGTCAAGGGTGGGATTCGTGATGGTCTCAGCTACATAAGTATTAAGGAGCGCCTGCTCTGTTCACTATGGGTCAACCGATCGCTTTCCTCCCTTAAGAATTCTTACAACCCCCGCCATTTTTACATTTTCCCGACGAAAGAGTTCTTTTCACACCTTCCCCTACTACCATCAGTCTTTAGAGGACCTTCTCAAAATATCAACATCATGACTGTTATTGCTCGTATTTTGGTTCTGGTTCAGCCATCGAAACACACCTGTCCGTCCTTTTCCCATTAAAAAATAATTGTTGATCGAGCGTTATTTTATCTAGACATAAGAGGAGGTATATATTACTCAATGAAACGACATATCTTTTGATTTCAACCACTTCATTCTTTCTTTTTTGAATCTCCACAAAAAAAATCAAAAAACCCGTCAAAAACGCTTCCCTCCTCCTGCCACCACAATCCATTCAATCCATTGAAATGCGAACAACTTCAAGATTCGAATCGCCCCTCTCCTTTTTGACCTTTTTGCACTTTCAATCACATACTGCGCGTTACGATTCTCCTATTGCTGGCAGTCTTGCTTCTACCCTTCGCCAATCCTATCCGCATCGTACTACGATTTCACCTTGTTGCGATTAAAAACATGCGGTCATTACTTTTTATTTTTATTCTTTTTATTTTTATTTTATTTTTAAATTTTGTGATTGAATTGATAGTTTCAGCTGGTGCAAAGGTACAAAATAGATGATAAGATCACTGGATATGTCGAATCTCTGGACATCTACATTTTCCCCGTGCTGAACCCGGACGGTTTCGTGTTTTCCTCGGACATCAACGAAATCAATAGTGAGTTTGTTTCAGTCAGTGGAATAGTAGTAGTCGGTGCAGTGTTTTGCCTACTAAACGAACCCATTTTGCAGAAAAGGGTCGTCATTCCTTTGACATCAAAGGCTCGTCAAGGAGCGAAATTGCGAGGGGTTAGGGGATGGGATGGGGCAGTGCTGGCTCCCAAGATTAGAGCAATTAACAGAGGAGGTCTTTCAGGACATGGAGCGCTTTTTCGAAACGGTTTTCTGCATGTTGTAGGGGCTCATGCGAGGAACACAGAACCATGATCCATTTTTCCTGAACGCCTCCAGGAATGTCAAAACAGTGGTGAAGAAATGGTCCAGAGTTCGATCCCCGGTGATGACTAATTTTTGCAATATAGTTTGGCGCCCCAGATTGCCGCCAAATGGCGCCATCGTCGAGAATAGATGTCATTGCCAACATAAATTGCAAAAGTTTGTCATCACGAAAGATCGAACTTCACCCGTTCCCTCCCCGCTGTATTGACATTACTGGAGCGTTCAAGTAAATGGACCATGGTTCTAACCATAAGTTTCTCACATGAGCCTCGTTTTTCCTCAGCATTGAGGAAAATGTTCCATAGCCTGAAAGACTTCCCTTGTAAGAATAAAACCTTCAGTGGTCCCAGTCTATCTAGAACCAGTTTTTCATATACTTGAATATCCTAAAAGATAAAACTTAGGCATTCACGATCGTTTCTTTTTGAGGTATGTCACGCGTTCTACCTCTATTCGCGACCGTACTGGCATTTGCATGTAATTCCTTCTAAGCAATGATTTGTGGAAACATTTGTATACCCATCGCAAATAGATGGGACACTTAAAATGTGGTGCCAGTGCTACTTGCATGGTTTTTTGGGCCGAATTTGGATATGGCCGTTGAGATCTTCTCAGCCAGCACGGTTAACCAGAGTATTAGCCTTTGCCGTGACTTTGGTTGCCTCCCAAAATGAAGTTCAACTCGTATATCTTTCCGAAAACCTCTACTGTTCTGAATGCATGGCGCACACCAAAGGGAACTCGTCCAATTCGTCCGAAGTATTGCTGCGTATTTCAGATCCGTCAATGGAGAAAGAACCGTGCCCCCTCGAATTGTTCGGGGTCTACAGGCTTCGCGAAAGACGTCTGTTGTGAAGGCGTCGATTTAAATAGGAACTATGATTTAGGGTGAGTTGAAGCTTCAAAGTTACGAGAATTCGAATGCACACACAAACATTCTCAAACTTGTAGTTGATGATTCCTGTCGATTATTCAGTCTTCAGATTTTCTCAACTTAACTACCCATTCAACAATCCATGTTCAGACGAGTTTCAAGGACCATTTCCTTTCAGTGAACCTGAGTCAAGGTTTGTGTTGAAATCAGTCATCTATTTCAATTTTAATCAATTCATTTTTCCTACTCTCTTTGATTTTTTTGGGTTCTCCATGGCACTAAAGAATTCTGAGTGGTGGTTAGTAGTGGTTAGGTGCGCCGAGGTCTGCACGATTTTAGGGAACGATTCTCCAAAGTCGACCAAGCCACCCATTTCCCTGGGTCTATATTCGAAAGCAGGGTTGCTATAGAAAAACGAGAAAAGAATGCTGGCTTATAAAAGAAATCTCTTGCCCCCGGCGGGGCTAGATGGGACCTGCACCTCCCTCTCAGAGGTCAAGTGCGCTACCAGTTACGCTACCGGGGCACGGTTAACCGTCCGTTCGCAGTATTCCAACAAGAGGGTCGCATTTGCAATTTCGGGAAGCGGTGGTCCCATTTAACGGTTGAGCAAGATTATCGTTACTAGGAAGGGAAGACTTTGACGAAGTGTCATTTAGAAGGGTTTTTTGAAGAAATTGGGTGGAAGTTTTGAGAAGGCAGCGTGAAGTAAGCAAAATTGGACGATTTGTCATATCATGACATCAATTTACCCCCTCCAACTGGACGGCTGTTTTGAGAAAAATTTGGAGGCAAAACTTGGCGGAGTTGGGCTGTGTCGGTTGGTTACAGAATCAAAATGCAGCCATGATGGTGAGGGTGGCGGTCGGGGTAGGGTGAAGAGTTGTATTGAGAGAACCTCCTAAGACTGATAGTGGTGGTGGGGGTCGCATCAATGTTTCTCCTAAAAGGAGGGGGTCGCAGAATTTTCGTAAAAGTGCGAACGTGACGGTTGACCCTGTACAGGGCACCGTTTCGCCCTAACTCAACCTTTCATGGCGTTTTTATCATAGCTTATCGGCACTTACACGTCTAATGTGATGGGTTGGTTAGCCAAAATTGGCAGTGAACCACAAGGCCTAATAGAGACTAATTGTGTACAGGGAAATACATTTGTTCGGAGATAATGTAGACGATGCCACTGCTAGTATTTTACGTGTCATAGATTCGATACTACTCGGTCCATTCCGAGGAGTTGGAACTATCGCTTGCATAGCTCCATCCTATGGAGGCGCGCAAACGATATAGAGACTGCGCTTTACACAGACCCCACCTTTTCATAACATAAGCAGTACTGTTTTCAGAGCCGTCCGTGACTTCGTCCTATCCAAGGAAGTCTACGGACGGCTACATGCCCTTGTCTCCATGCACACACATGGTCAACTGTGGATTCTACCATATAACCACCACAAACGAACCTATCCGGAAGACTTCAAAGAACTCGTAAGTGAATTTTTCCACTTCTTCACAATGAAACTATGAAACCTGCGTAGCACTCGAAAATAGCAATCGGTTACACGTGCGCAAAATCATACCAGTTCCTCCTATCATACCTCTCTCCTCGTATGTGGCTTAGTCCCGTTTTCAACGAAAAGGAAATATTTTACGTTGTTTGAATGCATTGACACGACCTGCCCCCGTATGTTGCGATAGCGCCAAAAATATAACAAAAAAGGCGGCAATACGCGCCAAAGGCAGTCGTTCATGTGTCAAAGCCCACATGTTAACTTCATGTTAACTATAACTATAAGAGCTACATATATCTTCACTTGCATATATATCTGTTTATTTCAGGAGAGCCTTGCCGCGAGAGCTGCCGAAGAAAGTCTACTCGTATCGAGAGACCAAGTACAGAATAGGTACAGCCGCGGATATGCTCGGTGAGATAACAGGATGATGATGAAGTGGCTAAGGCCAGGAGAGAGCATCGATAAGTAGGCCTTATGACTACTGATCAGCTCAATTGTAACGAGTAACAAATGAGTGCCTATTAGAGTTGTAGTGATTTCGAATTGGAAAACGCTGTTTAGAAAGAAAGATTCT